GATTTCCAAAAGGAAGAAAGAAAAGGGGACAGCGAAGAGCCCCAAGGAGAGCACGCAGGGCTTTCCGAGAGAGTGAGAAGAGACACAGACAGACAGACAGACAGACAGACAGACAGACAGACAGGGAGGGAGGGAGAGAGAGAGAGAGAGAGAGAGAGAGAGATACAAAGGGAGGGAGAGAAACTCGGCTCAATTCAGCTCTGTCTGCTCCCCTCTGTCTTTGCCCAGTTTTGCAAGGATCCAGCAGCGATCTAAGGCAGCAACCTCGTAGCACTGTGAGGTAACAGCCTGACTGTCACTCCTTTTGGAATGCAAGGTTTATTTTTGTATCTTTCCAGAGACAGAAAGAATGTGGCCAAATTTCCTTACAGTTATTCCCTGGGTATGGGAGTTGGGAAGGGGGGAGGGGAGTGGGGGAGAAGGCAGGAGGAAGAGGCATAGAGAGAGAGAAGGAGAGAGAGATAAGGAGAGGGAGAGAGAAAGAAAGAGAGATGAGAAGGAGGAAAGGAGGGAGACGGAGATAGAAGGAGAAAGATAGAGATGGGAGAGGGAGGGAGAAGAGAGAGAGAGCAACCTGTTCCCCATAGAAAACACAGAAAACCACAAAACCTGGAGGGGGGGTGTCATGTGACTCAGTGGGAGTGACATTGAGTTGCCACGCCCACCCATATCTTGGGGCTCCCGGTGTTTGGTTTTCTGTGGGAAACAGGTCCAAATGGCTCTGAGTGTTTAAGGTTGCAGACCCCTGACCTAGGGGGAGGCAGAGGAAGGGGGGCTTTGACCACATTCCCAATATCCAGGATCCTGCTCAGCCAAGCCCGCCCCTCTTTGTAGTTGCCCTGCCTGACAGCAAGTTCACAGGGTGCCCCTCCTGCCAGGGATCAGCCTCCCAAGCTGCCCCCCCCTCGGGGCACTCACGTTGTAAAGGGCGACGCTGTTCCCTCCTTCCTGGAGCAGGGCAAGGTTGAAGAAGCCCAGGGCAGGCAGTTTTGCTCTACTTTCGCAATGTGCCGCCACTGCGTTCAATGCACCGGCTCTGCAGGCTCACCCCATTGACCCCTTGCACCTCTCCGGTGCAACAGTCAATGGGGTGAGTCTGCGTTGCCAGCACCTTGAATGCACCCCTGCCGCCTCTTAACGCTCCCTCCCTCCCTCCTTTATTTCTTTTTGTCCCTTCCTTCCATTCCCCACCCTTTCTTCATCTGTCCCTTTTTCTTTCTTTCCCTTTTCTGTTCTTTTCTTCCTTCTCTCTTTCTCTTTCTTTTCTCTCTCTCTTTTTCCTTCTCAGGCTCACCCCATTGACTTGGTGCACTGCTTCATTCGGACTTGCTTGGGCAGGTCCCTCCAGTGCAGCGGGCTCAATGGGGTGGACCTGCGGGGCTGGCACCTAAAACGTGGCAGTGGCAGCACGTTTGAAAGTCGAGCAAAGCCAAAGGTCGGTAATTTTTGCTGCAAAGAATCACAAAAGCTTCTGGGTTGTGCTCAAGAAGGTACACACATGTCAAGGCAATTCAGCAACATAAAATAAAGAAATAAAAATAAACAAATCAACAAGAATCAGCAAAGCATCTCTGATTAGATTTTATTCACTACTAGAATCTAATCAGAGATGCTTTGCAGATTCTAGTCCAATGACCTGCTCCAGCAGGGTTAGAAGGGAGTGTGTGTGCATGGCTGTCAAGCTCCAAAAACAGGTCAAGTAGGTCGGGGGAGGCCAGTCATAAATTAGAACACTTGCTAAACAACCGACCATTAAGTGAGGACCACTTGTATTTGGTTTGCCAGTCACCTGGCCATGCCAACCCAGTCACATGACCACCAAACCACACCTATCCGGTCATGTGACCAGCAAACCACGCCCAGCCAGCAAGCCATGCCAGCCAGTCACATGACCAGCAAGCCATGCCCACCTAGTCATGTGACCAGCAAGCCACACCCTGAAATTAGGCCACGGCCACAGAAATTTAAATCCCACCCCTGGGCGGGGAGCACCGAGGATGAGTTTGTAGCACAAAGGGGGCGGTGGACTGAAAACGTTTGGGAACCACTGGACTATAGCATGCATATCTAAACTTTCAGATCCCAGTGTTGATTTAAAAGTTGTAACTGAAAACTTAATGCACCAAGAATGCATTTTGTTCATCTTTTTAAAAATATTTTTATGTAGTGCTTATAAATGTGGTAAATTAAAACCTATACTAATACTGTTCTGCTGCATGTGTGAATATTGTAGGCTTTGAAAGAAAGGAAAAGATGTATCACTGCCCACTGGTTGAGTTCTGCGCTAAAAAAGAAGAAAATGGTACCACCCCATCGAGCTCTTCATTTTCCCGTAGCATTTCCACCCGGAGGAAAACCATGTTCTCAGCATGTAAGGAAGCTTAATCTTATGTTTTTGTTTTGAAGTTACTGCTGTTGTTATTTAGAGTTCAATAATGTGTAAATATATACTACTCCATTTTTAGAAAAACTTAACACAGTTAGACAATAAAATTTTACAGATTTGCCTCCTACGGTTCTCCCACTTTCATTCACAGCTTTAAAGCTGTGAAAATGTTCCTCCCCAGAAGTCAGAAATCTGACTGAAAAATGGCAATTCAGGAGAATTTGAGAACAGTTGGGTGGTTAAGAGATGGTGTGGGACCACTATTAATATTTAGGGGGGAAATGCTAACATTTCACCATTTTTAATCATTAATATGCTGGACCCAAGTAATAACTGCAGCTAATCCTTGCTTAGGAATGGTAATTGGGACTGGGAACTCCCATCACCAAGGGATGTTATAAAATGCAATGTCATGTGATTGCACTGATTTACACCAATAATTGTGACACTACCAGGTGCTATTGTTAGTTGAACCCCATGTGATCGCAGCATCCCACGGTCACAGAATTGTCATTTGTGATCTCCTGCCAGTTTTCCCATTGACTTTGCTTGTCAGAATCTGGCAGTGAAAGTGGAAAATGCCATCACATGATTGTGGAACACTACAGCCGTGAACTGGTTGCCAAGTGCCCGAATCACAATCATGTAACCACAGAGATGCTGCGATGGTCACAGTTTACAAGAACGCATTGTAACTGCATTTAGTATCGTAACTTTGGTTGTTATTTGTGAACTAGGACTACCTGCACCATGTTGTATTTCATTTGGAAACAAATTGCCAGTCAGCGTTAACATTGATACAATGTGGTCTCTTTAATCTCTGTATTTTGTCCCAGTGAACATTACATTTCTTTACTAATTATAAAGGCAATCTCATGTGAAGCATCTTGGCAGTATTTACCCCATAGAACCCAAACCCTACAGTAATTTTCTTCCAGTGGGGATTCAGTTAGAGAATTCGAGCTATTAAAAGGTACTCCTGGCTGTTGTCTAAATCTGGGAAACCAGAGGGAGATTTCAAATGAGAAGGGCTCTCAAACTTCCTCATTTGGGGGGAATGTGAGCCCAGTCTCCTAGTCTTGGGATAATAGCTTAGTCATTCCTCTTCCCACCATCTGTTTTTCAGATGTGTCTGGACTGACTTCACACTCCCTAAGTCCAGTGCATGAGAGAGAAAAGGGTCTTGCCCTCTGTATTTTGACTTAATGACAGCAAAGGGAAAAGGGGGTTACCTCTGCTGGAGATAATTCAACCCTCTAGTCCAGTAGCACTGAGGCATAGAGGTTTAACCTTTGTTCTCGTCTTTTGGAGTTAACTGACTAAGACAGGCTTCCTGTTAAAGAAGATGAAAGTTTTGTATTCTACAGGAATTGTACAGGAAATCTGGAACTTGAATCTATTCTGGGAGTTGGGATTGCATCTTATTTTGAAAAATACTGAATTAGTTAAAGGTTAGTGTCACTTAAAGAAAAATAAAATAGCCAATGTATTTACAGTTGTTTCATTTGTTTCTGTCCAGATAATTGCTGTAACAGGTTTTGTGGATGGTGACAGAATCGATCTCAAGTTGATGGCCTACCTAGCAGGAGCAAAATACACAGGCTATCTTTGTCGCAGTAATACCATTCTTATCTGTAAAGCGTAAGTGCTGCCTGGAATAATAATGTGGATAACACTGATGGGTCCCATTTTATGTCTGCTTTTTTAACAGCCATTTTCAGAATAAAAGCATTTGGTTTTCCCTGGCTGTGTTATGGTATGTTACATTAAAAATGTTGAAGTACATCTTCATTTACGGTGTTGAGTTTTATTGTCTATTTTAATTCTATAAAAACTAGCACTGAAGCCCTCAAAATTGTATGTTCTAATGATTTAAGAGGATTCCAAAATCATTTTTCATTTTTATAAGAAATAATATAAATACTATAGAATTTATAATAAGTACTATTTGATGTGAAGTTTAACAAATTAGCAATATTGGCAGTCTTCCGCACCCTAAGTGCTTAATGAAAGTTGTCTGGGTTGAGAACTTGGGGTCCTAATAGTCCTAATATATTTGGAGAACATCATGTTTGGAAAAGCTGTTTTGACTTCCTGTCATTTGACTCTTACCTATTTCAAGGCCAACTGGCGTAAAGTATGAAAAGGCTAAAGAGTGGAGGATACCTTGTGTTAATGTACAATGGCTCTGTGATATTTTACTTGGAAATTTTGAAGCTTTGCGGCAAATGCAACACAATCGATACACAGTTTTCAATCTTCAAGAACCCTTTGCTCCTAATCAGCATCTAGTTCAAAATCTTCTTGGTAAGAAAATTTGTAAAACTTTACGACCATTGCATTTCAGTATAAAACAATAATTCCATGAAACATCCTTTAATATGAATTATGTCTTACAACAGCGTCATCTAGCTCTATAGATGATTATTAATGGAAAATCTGACTTAAAGCAGAGTTTTTAAATGTAGCCTTTTCCCCTGTGATGTAATTAATTGCTCTGAGTTGTCTCTATCAACTTAATCTGTCAATTAACATAATCCGTTAATTTCTCCTTTTCTATTAACCCAATTTAATGGAGAGGGAGAAATGATAGGAAGAACTACATGAAACCACATTATATTCATCCAACCTACGCCAATTGCATCTTGTTTGAATGTTCTGTGGGCTTTTATTGCATGTCTTAATGGGCTAAAAAGAGTGTGTGTACCAAATGGATATTAACCCAAGTACTGGAGCATCCCAGAAATTGTGCTTTGGTGTAAGAGTTTCTTGTTCTTGTTCATTAATTCCAGATGCTTGGAGGGTGCCTTTAAAAGTGTCGCCTGAATTTCAAATGGTACGTAGTGTTGCTTTAAACATCTTTACAGGTGGGGAACAGAAAAAAGAATGCATGTGAAAAAGTGAAGATATTCTGGACTATAAAATACTTAATATTGTTTAAAATATTTTATATTACTCTTTAGTTAAAATTTCTCAGATGCTATACCTGATGGTTATATTTCTTTCCTCCCTTGGAAATCAGATGCAGTCTCTATATAAATACTTTCCCAATTGACAGGGAATTTCCAGCTTGGTTATGACCACTAATTGGGACAAAAGACTGCCGGTAAGAAAAGGCTTCCATAAAGTGCCAGGGTCAAATGCTTGCTGCTTCCTCCTACAAAAAGATGAATAAATCTGAATTTAGTTTCACTCAATCAGAACACTATTTATTGCATGCAGAGCTCTAACTAGTTGTTCAATCAGGTTAGGCAGTCTTATCCAGTTCCTGGACTCTCTTGTACGCTCTTTTGCATTAATGTTGCACCCCCATTCCCCCCATTTAAATCTATTATTCTCTTTGCATGAAATTCAGTTCTACTTTATTCTTCTTCCTACATCATGACGAAGAGGGAGGAAATCCAGGGATGGTTTTCTGAGGAGGGAAAGGGATATCAGTGTCAGTTTCTTCTGAAATGAGGTGTTGACCGATCATTTCCCAATCTGGTCTATTACGCGCTCTCGGTCTTAAGAGGAATGTGTGCCCAGCTTACAAGTGGCTAGGAACAAAGGAATATCCTGTCTAAGACTCCACAGGCCATAAAATGTCCCACAAACTGGGCAATATTCAACTTCCGTAACAACATCAGACTCAGCTAGGAAGAATTGGCAACTTAGAATAACTTTGTCAACAAAGAGCTGCAGAAATTAGTTGCAACAATCAAATAGGCAATCTAAAATGTAATTCACTCCCAAGAAGTGAATTGCTCACAGAGAAGAGCAACCAGGATCATTAGGGGACTAAAACATATAAAGAACGTTTACAGGAACTGGCCATGGCTAGTCTAGTGAAGAGACCAGGGGAGACATGATAAGCGGTCTTCCAATATTTGAGGGGTTGCCACAGGGAGGAAGGGGTCAAGCTATTTTCTAAAGCGCCTGTAGGCCAGACAAGGAATAATGGATGGAAACTGAACAAGGAGAGATTCAACCTGGAAATAAGGATAAACTTTCTGACAGTGAGAACAATCAACCAATGGAATAGAAGTTGCCCTTGGAAGTTGTGGGAGCACCATCACTTGAGACTTTCAAGAAGAGATTGGAGTGCCATTTGTCAGAAATGGTGTAAGGTCTGCTTGGGCGGAGGGTTGGACTAGATGACCTACAAGGTCCCTTCCAACTCTGATTATCTGTTATCTGTTAATAATAGCAACAGCTGATAGTCTATAGCACAATTTGGGAGAACAACTACACTTTACGTTGCCTTTCACTACTATGGTGTAGTTTTGAGCTTATACCTGTGCTTGGTCAGAATTCCTTTTGGTCTTTCTGCACCACTGCTCCCAGAGCTCAGCAAACTAGGAAGATACCATGGATCTCCCAGTATAGGGAGAGGACCTATATTAGGTGTCCCATGTCATTTTATCTTTCCAGTTGCTTGAGCTCAGCATTTTGCATAGGCATATTTCTACTTGTGCACATAATACCACATCCTGAACTTGCAATATATATGAAGGTGGATCTCTGTGTTCTTCATGTCTTGGGGGATTGAATTCTCTACTATGAATATAAGTGCTTATGTAATAATTGATGAACTAAGCTAGATAGCATGCTTGAAATAAAGAAAATTATTTGCATCACAAAACTTTAAAGTACATAATACATGTATCTTTTTCCACTGCAGCATTATGACTAAAATATGGTTATTTTCCTGGAATGTAATTTTATGAGTTGGCAGAAGCAGTGTATGTTTTTATATATATTTAAATATATCGGTACAAAACTATAAATAATGCTTAAGAAAACCAAATTTATATCTTCTCTAATTGTAGAACATGAGATTACCACTTAAACCAAAGCAGAATGAACCAGTAATTCAACCTTCAATCAAGAGGCCAAGGTAAGAAAATGACAATGCTTAAGCAATTCAATATTTGCATGCAAGTGGTCTTGTTACTGTTTTAGATTTTAAACATCGTACGTTTTTGAGTTACACATACCTGGAAAAAAGTATAACCATGGGGACAAATCAAGGAGCAAACATTTGGAAGTGAGAGACATGTCAGAGGAATATGAAATATCACAGCAAAAGCAGACATGCCTCTTTTATTTTATAATCTACTAAATGGAAAAAAAAAAATATCTTTAATTTTGACATTCAGTATAACAGAGCACTATATGCTGTTGCCCTAATTTTGGATTTATTATTAAATTACTTGATTTAAAACGTTAAAAATAACATTAAGGTAATTTTATATTTCTAGAGTTGAAGACTTTCCAACACCTATAAAAAAACTCCCACCAGAATTGACACCAATGGTTCTTTTTACAGGATTTGAGCCTGCCCAAGTGCATCAGTACATAAAGGTGAATTCCTTCTTGAATTAAAATATTTCATGTGACTTTAGGGTTGATTTTACAATATGCTGGTTATCCACTGACAAATTGAATGTGTGACTGGATCAAGCCATGTATCAAAAATCACTGTGTAATAATTGAGCATTGTTTTTTAGAAGTTTTTTTCCCCATGTACATGGTTGTCCATTATTTTCTCGTCTGTTATCCTATTATGATTAAAAGTTCAAAAACTCTTGTTTTTTTTCCCCTTTTTCTTCCATTTTTAGAAAGTCTATATGCTTGGAGGTAACATAGCAGAGTCTGCTCAGAAGTGTACTCATGTGATAGCTAGTAAAGTAACCCGCACTGTAAAATTCCTGACAGCAGTTTCAGTTGCAAAACATATTGTAATTCCGGAATGGTTGGAAGAATGTTTCAAGAGTCAGAAATTTATAGGTTAGTAAATGGCCATGTTGAACAAAGTAAGAGTTGTATTGTGGAATCCTTCTTTCAAATGTGACACAGTGGAACTTTGATTGGAACTGATGTCCTTTGGTTTATAAGTAAATTAACTTCATTGAAGTAATTAGAATAAATGTTTTCTCCTCTAAAATACTATTTTTAATATGCTTGACTAGAATTGAATAAACTGCTGTGTCATTTTGAAAGTCAATTCACCCAAAAATCCATTTCTGACTACCTCTAACCCCTCTGTTTTAGTAGTCTAAAGAGTGTGATATAATAGAAAAACAGAGTTGGAAGGGACCTTGGAGATCCTCCAATCCAACCCCCTGCTCAAGCAGGATACCCTATATCACTTCAGACAAATAATTGTCCTATTTCTTGTTAAAACCTCCAGTGTTGGAGTATTCACAGTGGAGACAAGTCATTCCACTGATTAATTGTAATGTCAGGAAATTTCTGCTTAGTTCTAGGTTGGATCTCTCCTTGATCTGTTGCTTCTTGTCCTTCCTTCAGGTTGACCCCCTCTTCTTTGCCGCTGCCCCCCTCCTCATTCTTCATCTTCCATGTGGTCCTTGGCTTATGATCATTTGTCAGTGACTGTTCAGAGTTATGGCAGTGCTGAAAAAAATGGATGTACAGTATATGACCGAACCTTGAAGTTCTGGCCGTTGCAGCATTTCCATGGTCACACGATTACAACCAAGGCAGTTGGGTGCCCTGCTTGCAGTTACAATATTGCAGTGAGCCAGGGTCATGTATTTGCCATTTCTGACCTTTCCTGTCAGCTTTTCACAGGAAAAATTAGAGGCAAAGCAGGCAGGGAAGGTCATAAGTTGCTCTGGTAAATTGGCCCCAGGGATCTCGTACTCTGTAACACCCATCCGCCTTCCGTAGTGCCTGCCCGCCCGCCCATAGCAGCCTCCCACTCACCCACAGCTTCCGCCAGCCCACCTGCACTTTATAGCACTTGACCGCATCCCCCATTCCTCCCACTCCTTGCCGCTTAACAGTTAGAATGGTCCTGGGTTTATGACAGCAACTTGTACTGCCAAGATGGCCGTCACTAAGCATTGCAATCAAGTGACATTGCACTTCATGATGCATTGCTTAGTGATGGTACTCCTAGCCCCAATTGGTATCCTAACCTAAGAACATCCTGTATGGCAGTTTTTATATGAATTCTTTAAAGGCATTAATACAGCTTTATTTAGTCAATCCAATGGGTGATCTTCCACTCTTTAAACTTAGTGAACATCAATGAAGTATTTAAATTTTTAACTGCTAGTGCCAAGGTAACTTTTAAGCATCTCAAACTTTCTCAGAATAATTCCTAAGAATGAGTAAATGCTTTCACCATCTTGTTTTTCGAAAAATGAAAGTTATGTCCCCCCTCAAACTTTTTTATAGAAGAACAAAGCTACATGCTCCGAGATGCAGAGGCTGAAGTCCTTTTCTCTTTCAGTTTGGAAGAATCTCTAAAGAGAGCGCAAGCAACACCACTCTTTAAGGTATAATTGTGTTTGTTTACTGAGTGCTACATATCTATATATCATCACATATTGGAGGGCAAGATCACCAACATAGTTTACAAAAACCAAAGAGCAGATCTTTAAGGAGAATTCCAGGGAGAAATCCATGTCATTCAATCTAAAAAAACCAAAACAAAACCACAGGAGGTTAACCCTAAAGAAATTGGGAACCAGAAAACCAAGTTGGAAAGGAAATGGAGTTTAATATCTTGAACAGGGTACCATTTGCTTCAAAAGTGAATCTACATATATCCAAGCATGAATAACTATTAGACCAGAATTAGTTGGAATTCATATTTTTGGTTTCTAAAAATTGGATTAGAACTGCATTAGTGTTACCAATAAAAGAAAATATTTGTAGCATGAAATGAGGGGTCCTTGGTGCTCTCTGAGCTTGCTTGTTTTGTTGCAAACATTTCATTACAGAAACTAGGAAACATTATCAATGCTAGTAAGGAGTGCTGTTTGCTGTCAGTTTTTGCTGGATCTTTGGCAGTTTCTTGACTATTGGTCTTAAATTAACCTTGAGGTTAATTTTGTTCTAGGTGTATATTGTTCTAGGTGTTATTGCTGGTGGAGAGATGCTGGAATCTATTCTCTTTTGTGCTGGTTGGTTGTCTCTTTTCCATAGCCCATAGATGTTGTTCATGTCAATGGGTCCATTGATGGATGATTTGTTAAGAGTGCCAGACTTCTAGAAATTCCCTGGCATTTTTGGACTTGGCCTGGTCCAGGATGGTCACATTTTCCAAATTGAAACTATGGTTAAATCAGTCTATATGTTGTGAAATTAAAGAACTTTTGTCATGTCTTCTGACTGCCAGTTGGTGTTCATGGATGTGTTCTGCTGATCTTCTGCCTGTTTGTCCTACTCAGTGGTTGTTGCAGTCCTTGGATTGTATGTTGTAGATGGCTCCTGTTTTTTCTTCTGGGGTTGCTGGGTCTTTTGGTTTGCTTAGGATGTTTTGAAGCGCTTTAGTTGGTTTGTGTGCTACGCTGATTCCATGTGGTTGTAGTAGTTTGTGGTTTCTGTGATATTCTTGATATATGGCAGTGTAATTCTTTTTAGGGTTTGTGTTGGTTGTGCTGTGTTGGGTTGAGAGATCAGGGACTTTTTGATAGTTGTGTAGGTATCCATTTGTTGGAATGTGTTTGTATTGATGTTCCATTTCCTTTTTCTGCTGTTTTGGGTTGCTGTAGTGTGTTTAAATGAGCCTGTTTAATAAACAGCCCAACCAAGGAATCTCCAAGACTGCCCCTCCACACAGACAGGCAAAACACCAGAATAGAAAATGATAGCAAACAGCACTCCTTATTAGAACTGATGATATTACCAAGTTAGGGTAATGAAATGTTTGCAAGAAAACAACCAAACACCAAGGACCCTGAGCTAGAAATGTTGTCCTTTATTGATTAACTCTGTTTACCAGCCAGTCACAAGTCACTATCTTAGTTTGACATATATGACTTGATTATTGTGCTTAGGAAGTCATAAAGTGGAATCAATGACTTCTCTAGGAAAATTCTGTAGGTACAGTTAATTTCAGAAAAAAATCTATGTTATCTAGTTTTATATATTACATATGGTAGTTTTATATGTTGACTTTTGGTGGCAGTGTGAATTCTTTGTTTAAAATTTATGATGGAGAATTAACTGAAAACAAGACCTACTAGGATATTGCTTGTATAAGCATCTTCTAATATGATGCAACATTTATAAAACTGTGTATTGGCATTTTGATTTGTGGATCATTCCATTTGTATTTGAAGGAACAAGTATTACCTTTGGTAACATGTTAAGAAGTCCTAACCAATAGGCTTGTGTCTTAAAACTGGATTTGTAGAAGAAAAAGTGATGCAGAACATTGTTTGCCTCTCACCTATGGTCACATGTCTAATTTAAACACATTTTTCCTGGGTGCATTGAAGGAATTATATGATTAACAACTCCAGCTTCTAAGCAGATTAACTTTTATCAGGGCGCTTACCATATTCTGTTGCAATTGCTTTTAGGCGGCCTAGTAATGTAATAAGAAAATCAGAAAGGAAAAATAAACCTGTTTGGCCTAGTCACTCAGTCTCTTCCCAACTTCCTGCACAGGGAAGGATGTTTTAGGGGAGAATGATCCCTTGTAAATCATCCTAAATATCTGAAGGAAGGGTGGGATATAAACCAAACAATTACAAATAAATAAACCAATTATACTTTATGTACTAATCCCATCTATCTGCCTGAAACGTTCCTTGTTCTTCAGGAGCAAAGTGAGAGAACAAGTTTCAGTCAGAGCACAAGATTCATTTAGTTTCCACAAAATAGAGAAGAACAGAGAAGTCATTATTAATTTTTTTCCACAATGTTAAAGTGTAAAAGATGCATTATTTTCTGCTTGGCAAAAAATTTACAAACATTACATCCCCATATAGACTCTCCGCCCCCCCAAAAGTAAAAACTAATACAAACTATGATAGAAGACAAAATAGAAATCAAAGAGAAAGCTAGAAGAAAGCAAAAGTAGAAGAAAAAGAATACAAAAATGACTTCTGTTCTTTATACAGTTATAAGTACAATTATAAATTCATCTCTTCCTCTCTTCCTTCTATAATATCTGGTCTCCAAAATCATAAATCATAAAAGTTCAACTTTCCAGTTTTTTTTACAAAAGTTTACATGGGTTTCCAGTCAAGAATAAATGTAGATATTGTCGTTTATGTGATTCTTCTTCTTTCATATCTCGATCAAACTTTAAACTGCCAGAACGAGGCCACTTTTATGGCTTTGTTGTTGGCCAAAAAGAAATCATTATTGGTACATGTTTCAGGTAGTAGCCGACATACCAGCAAATGGGCCAGGCTCTGCATCTGTCCACATTCACACAGTATTGTTATCCACTAAGAGCCTCCACCTTAAGCATATTGGTCTGCCTGCTCCTCCATGTAGTATGTGTACCCTCAAGAATGTTTTTTTCTTGCCATAATGTTCCTAGATCTAAGTCAGTGCGCTTGGAGCACATGTCCATTCAGAGAATGTTGTGAATCATTATCTTGCTACGTCCCCTCAGCTACTTCTGTCCTGATCTTAGCTGGGGCAATGCCTGCAAGAGGATACATTTCCTCAATTAGTGCAGATTTGAAACCACCTGTCACTATGTGTACTGCTTCATTGACGGCTACACCAACTTGTTTCGCGTATTCAGAGAAGCGCTACACTGGAGCAGCATACTCTGCTGCAGAGATGCTCACAGCTGATGTGCACAACGTAGATTATTGCATTACCCTCTTACAGCTTTATCAATTCCCAGATGATACTGTTTCTCAAGCTGATTTAGCCTTAGTGCTCAGGCCATGCTGTTTAAAAGAGAGCATCCTGTCAAGTGTCGCACTGAGATATTTTGGTGTTGGACAGGGCTATAGTCTGTTCCCTTGCCCTATAACCGTGATGGCAAACCTATGGCACGCGTGCCACAAGTGACACTCAGAGCCATTTGTGCTTGAGTTGCAGGCAAACTACCTCATGCGCATGTGTGCGCCTCACAGCTGATTTTTCAGCTGGTATGAAGCCTTTTTCAGCCTCCCAGAGGCTTGGAAAAAGCCTCTGCAAGGTTTTTCAGGATGAATAGGCCTGTTTCGTCACTTTCTGCAATACCGGAAGTGATGAAACGGGCATATTATCCATCCTGAAAAGACTTGCAGAGGCTTTTTCCAAGCCTCTGGGAGGCCAAAAAATCAGCTGTAAGGCTCAGTGCAAGTAAGGAGATGGTGGAGATTGCGCATGCATGCGCAGAGGGCATGGAGTGCACATTGCATTCTGGGTGTTAGCACATTAATTCACAGGAGCCCAAAAAGGTTAGCCACCACTGCCCTATAACACCCAACTCTTCACCATGCATCTTGATATCAGAGGTGGAAAATAACACTTGTTTGGGTCTTGTTTGGGTTGGGCTTTAAATCGTTGATGGTGCAATATCATCCTAATTCTTCAAATGCTACCATATGTTTCCCAACTACCTCATCAAAAGTTGATCCTTGTGAACCCACTGCTATATCATCTGCATAAAGTAATGGACATTTGTTGGGGATTGGTTGATTGTGTGTGTTGGTGTGTTATATAATGTTGAAGACAATTCACTTCCTTGTGGCAGCTCATGCCCATGCATCCTGCATCTACTGTTCTTACCATTCACAGTCACATAAAATCACAATTTTCCATGATCAAACAAGTCCAAAAATACGTTTTCTATGACAAAGACCATATTTTTGATAAAGGCTTTTATGCCTGTAAATGACCCTCAAAAAAAGTAGAAACATATAAGTACCTTTAAATACATAATAGGTAAAATGTAAATGTGTTTTGAACTTTTCTTGTTTTAGGGGAAATATTTCTATATTACTCCTGGAATTTCTCCTAGCCTACATGTTATGAAATCAATTGTGGAATCTGCAAGTGGGAAGTTATTATCTAAACAACCTTCTTTCAGAACAGTTATGGAACATAAACAAAATAAGGTGGGTGTGTTATCTCTATTCTTTTATGGAATATTTAGCTGTAAACTACATCAACTATTTCAGTTTCTTTTTTCTTTTTTAATTTAGAGCTTGTCAGAGATTATCCTTATCGCTTGTGAAAATGATCTACACTTATGTCGAGAATACTTTACCAGAAACATAGGTAGGTGCTTAATATCCTTAGGTCATACTTACATGTTTAAACATGCAATTTGATACATAATATATAGGTGTTTTGGAATTTATTTACGTATTGCATTTTTCTTCATCATGCTCTCCCAGACTCCAGAGCTTCACCATAATAGGGCTTTCTTACAGTTAGTTCTGTTTTGCTGTTTGTTTATTAAACTTGCAAAACAGCAGTGTAACATGAGCCACCTTCAGGGGGCCAAAAATTGTCTGCACTGCTGCATTCTGCAATGGCTGAAGCTTCTGATACTCTTCAAGGATAACCCCATATGAAGCACATTGTAGTAGTCTAACCATGAGATGACCAGGGCTTGAGTGATGAGTACAGGGACTCCCAATCCAGGAAAGGGTGCAACTGGCACACAATACAAAGTTGTGCAAATGCCCTTCTAGACACGACCACCACCTGCTCATTGATTAGGAGTTGCCAGTCCAGGAAAACCACCAGATTGTATACCAGGTCTGTCTGTAGTAGAGCAAATCCCATCCAGAACTAAATATGTTTAGTCCTGGAGCTGAAAGCTCTAACCCATCCTAAGCCGCTTACCAGGTTGAGCTGATTGATGTCTGTTCTCCTCTATCCACACCCACTTAGCCTCAAGTCACTGCTTGGGTCACTTGGGATGGAGATGGAAATTTGAATATCATCAGAATACTGTTAGTACCTTGGCCCATGATGGCGAAAGATCTCACCCACAGGCTTCATGTGGGTGTTGAAAAAGAGTGGAGAAAGTACCGAGCCTTTGTGGGGTGCCTCAGCCATAGACTGGACCTCTCACTCCCTATTAACACTGATTGGGACTGGCCTTGGAAGAAGAAGCCAAATCAGTAAAAATTGCACTGCACTGCCCAACCCCAAAACCCCACAGCTGGCCCCAAAGGATACTATTGGTCAATGGTATTGAAAGTCATTAAGAGGTCAAGGGTTAAGGTTAGCAACAATGAATGTACTATCCCCATCCTGCTCTCGCCAGAGAACATTTGTAAGTAGGGCGATATTGTTCCTGCCCCATAACCAGGCCTGAAACCTAACTGGAAGGGATCTAGATAATTCATTTCATCCAGGACCCTCTGAAGCTGCTAATGAATCACCTTTTCTACCAACTTTCCTAAAAGGGAAAGTGGGAAACTATAGACAAAAATTGTCCAGACAGGTAAGATCAATCAATAACTTTTTTTGAGGAGCGGGCAAACCAGGACCAGCTTAAAAGGTCCTGGAAGTGTGCCCTCCTTTATCATTGCCTGAACTTACTTGGCTGTCACTGTCCTGGACGCTTTCACCAACTAGGAGGTACAGGGATCTAATTGGCAGGTGGTTGCATTGTTAGCTTTGAGGAATTTGTCCACTTCATCAGGTTCAACAAGGTCAAACTATTCCCAGATAACCAGGTAAGACCTTCCCTCAGGCATCTCACATGGTCCTGCACCACCTGTAGGTTCCAATTGGAAACAAATCTGAGCAATCTGTCCATCAGATGTTCCACAAATTCCTCTATGGACCCCTGAAGATGATCACTAAGCCTCCGTGTTCCAGGAGAGACTAGGTGATCCTGAACAGGGCCACTGAGTGACACTGTATAGAACGCAATAAGGGCTGATAAATAATAGTGTTTTGCTGCTGTTATTGCCAAGAGGTAGGCCTTAATAGCAGCTCTAAGTTGTGTCTTGTGGCTTCATCCTCTTTTTTTTCTCCAGCAATGCTCTAAGCGTTTGTTAGTCCTTTTGAGAGCCTGGCATCTGCATCATGTGAATCACATGGAATGTGTGGTCATGAGAAGCCACACAGGCACAATCCTGTCCCAAGTCTCAGCTGCCCTTTGGTCTTAGAGCTTCTGCAGGAGCATGCAACGGATTTTGTTTACTATTCATGTAAGCTGCCAGAGTCACTTTGGAGTCAGTCAGCATTTACATTTCATAAATAAATAAAGGCATACTTAATGGTTAGGATGTGGAGGAGAATATATTGCTTATCACAGTTCTTAATTTTTTTACAGTTGCCCTAGGCAACTGAATCTGCTCTTAATTTCTCTTATTTATAAGATATATATATATATATATACAACATCTAAATATTGATGCAGTAATCAATATTAACAACCAAAATGGATGAGATAATAATTGTGCCTTAATCTTTTTTTTTTTTAATATTATCTATTTATTTGTGTTTTATTTCAAGCCTGAATGCACAGCCATTCAGTTGGCTGTGATGCAAAAGGACAATTTTGGGATAAATTGAATGTTCTAGCTATAGGAAACAGTGGATGCTTGGAATAATTTTGGTACTGCTATTTTTCATTTCAGGGCAGCAAGAACAGATAGGATTGGCAGCCTGCATAACAATTGACCATTGGGATGATTTTTAAAATATTGCTGAAAAAAAATCCTGATACAAAAATAATATTACAGTATATGCTGACAGTATTTGCATTTCAGTCTTACTTTGGCAAATTCCTTCTGGCCAGATAATGTACAGGTAGTCCTCGACTTATAACCATTCATTTAGTGTTCTAAATTATAGTGGCACTGGAACAAGTAACTTACAACCATTTTTCACACTCAGAAATGTTGCAGCATCCCCGTGGTCATGTGATCAAAATTTGGATGCTTGGCAACTGACTCATATTGATGGTGGTTGCAGTGTCCCTGGAGTCATATGATCACCTTTTGTGGCCTTCTGACAAGCAAAATCTATTGGGAAGCCAAATTCATCTTGGTTACTAACTTAGCTGGAGTGATTCACTTAACAGCTGTTGCAAGAAATGTTATAAAATACAGCAAAGCTCACTAAACTATTTTGCTTAGTAATGGAAATTTTGGGCTCAGTTACACTTGTAAGTCAGGAGCTACATTCTATTTTTGTGCATTCTGTAATGACATATATTTTTTCTATATTTTTTTTGTCATTTTCTTTTTCTCAAAATATTGCGAGTTACTTATAAAATAATGGGCATGTTAAATTATATTTTCTTGGTACTCTTAATAATTAGAAATAATAAAAATATTTGAATATTAAAGATAATTATGATTATTAGATTTATACACTGCCTGATTCCTAGCAACTCTAGACAATTACTGAGTTTATCAAATATAGGAAGTACTATTTTGTTCCACGTTGAATTTACACATATTAGTGTGAAAGAGAGATGGATTAGTGTAACAGAATAAAAAATAAAAAGTTGAAATGAATTGCCAGATATACCAATATTGACAATTATGTGAAAGTTAACTGCCATTTAAAACCTATTCGGAAAGGCTATTGTTAGTCATTAAATGTAATCATTATCAGTATTAATGGACAGGTTTTTTAGCTAGTTAAGAATGCAATCTGCACATCTTTGTCAAAAAACAAACAAACCCTAAAATACAGTTTTTATTATGTTTGTGGATTCTGAAAGAGTATTCGATATTTGCAGTAAGATACCCCTGCAAATGATCCCTGGAAACGATGCTTTTTAGATGTTTGCCAGGATGGCTTCTTATAAGCAGCTATGTCCAGACAGTAGTGTTCCCTTCCTGTTTATTTTCTCAAGCTTTTGCGCATCCCATCTCCTTTCATTGTGGCTGGGAAAGATATCTTCCATTATGCCATCCAGTAAGATATTAAAATAGTTTGAATAGGAAAATACATTTGAATTTTGTACCAGATCATTTTATGACTTGAAACCAAGAGAATTCTTGGGTGTGGTATATTTATCTCTTGGCTAAAGCACTACTTTAGGTGTATGGAAAAGGCTCAGAATGGCAGGCAGGTGCCCAGCATATGATTTGCCACTGATTTAATCTGGTCAAATGCACACCCGCCTTTTCGCTACATTTTATTGGGATCCAACTGCCAGGTTTCCCTAACTGATTAAATGTTTATAATATTTGTATGTTCTTTTGATATTTTTCAGATGTCCACAGTGCAGAATTTGTTCTGACTGGAGTCCTTACTCAAACACTGGATTATGATTCATATCCTTTTGTATGCCATTTCCCTCCTTAAATATGATACTGATTTCTGCAAGAACATCCAGCTCAATGAAATAGGCTTGGTTTTCAGTGATTGTCATAATGGACATTGTGTAAAATAGATATAGGGAGACTGGAAATTATAATGCATTACAGGTAATCCTTGAGATACGACCAAAATGGAGCCTGCTATTAGAGTCTCATACTACAATGACCATTAAGCAAAATCACCCCATCCCTGCTTTCCCTGATGCAGCTGTTAAATGAACATGAAGGTCATTAAATGGGGCACAGGATCCCGGGAGTGGAGGAGTCCCTTGGAGACCTAGCACAGGTCCAGGCCCGCCTGCCCCGGGTGTCCCAAAGGTCTACATAATGCTCATTCCTCCTATACTTTTCCCCCTAATAATAACCCTGTGAGGTGGGTTGGGCTGAGAAAGACTGACTGGCTCAAAATCACCCAGGCGTTTTCGCGCCTAAGATAGAACTCACTATCTCCTGGTGATTGGCCCAAAGTCATCCTGCCAGCTTTGATGGCTAAGGCAGGACTAGAACTCACAGTCTCCTGGTTTCTAGCCTGGTCTCTTAACCACTACACCAAGCTGGTTTATGCTATTACATAACATAATGGCATATGTGATGAAGCATGATGATATCAAAATAATGGTATTGCATGGCGAGGTCATGAGACAAATGCTGAAATTATATACGTCTATCATAACTTGATGTTGCCACAAATAGGTTATTTGCCTCACTTGTCTCACGTAGCTGGGGCTTGTTTAAGCCAGTTGATTCATTATCATCTATTTTGACAGTGATTTTTTTCCTTAACCAAATCTACATATAAATTTACTTGACTCTAAGTAAAATGCCTTATTTTGCTTCAAATTCCTTGAAGCCTTCCCCTGAGCTTTTCCAGCCTGTGGATTATTTAATCAGGACTTCATTGAATTCTTGTTTTCTCTTGTTTTGCTGAAGAGCGAAGAACAGTTGAAGCAGGAAAGGGAAATTTTACTGCATCTGTTTAGGATGTGTCACCTTTTATTATTAAGCTAACCATTTTTATACTATACTGTAGACCAGAGAGATTACTTTTTATATTGTAAAATAGTTTCCTGGTTTTAAGTTTTAATAATCGGCAATATCCAACCAAAATCTTAATTAAAATTTAAAGGAAGAAGGGCTTATGGCATGTTTAAATTAAGGAAGCAAATATTTTGTACTTTATTTTATTATGCTGTTTTATTAATACTATCCCATGTTTTAAATAAACATAGTTTTAAATGATGTTTCCTTAAAATTTAGTGGTTTTTATTTTTTAAATGTTGTGCAATTATAACACTTTCTGGTAAGAGTAAACACTCTGTTCTCTCAAGTGGTGTAAGATATTCTTTCATTTATTTTACCAGATGTGTTTGAATATTAAAGTCCGGGTATTTTAAGCAGAATTTATTAATGTTATGTGTGTTCCTGCTGCAGTTAGATTGAATTCACTCATATTCTGAAGTGATATACTTTATTTGTAATTTTTATGGAACAAATACGCAAAATAGAATTCATGGAGGAAGTTATTTCATTCAAGTTTAACTTGTCTTAAAATGTTATTTTAATCTATTGTTAATTTAATCCATTTAATTTTAAATTGGGTATTCGTCATTTTAGGAGTAATTCAGATGTAACTATTTCAGCAAGTTTGCATAAGTTCCAGTTAGCTTGCAATTTTATCTAGTTCTAAAGACTTTTGTTGAATAGATAAAATGTTAAAATCATTTCTGTGTGTTTGGTTTTCTTTTTAAAATACTTTTTTCATGTTTGTAACTATGGTAACACTTGAGTCTTTCTATTGACTCTTTGAATTGACAATAGATTTCCCATAATTGTAAGAAATTTGGTGCCTTGGGTTTAAAAGTATGAAAAAGTACTAGCAATTTACATAGAATGAAATAATGATACATTTCTGAATGTGGCTCTTAGAAAAGAGCCATGTATGGCACCATGTCTTCATGCAGAAAATCTACCAAAATATTTGAAGTAGGGTGCCTGGTTGAACCTGATAGGAATGATTTAACAATTTACCGTTAATTTACTGAACACTGCTATGTAGTTTTGAAGACAGTGCATTAATTTCCATCAGTTAAGTTAGGTAACTTTTCTTATGCTGGAACCATACATGTTTTCAAGGAGCTGACAGTACCAAATTACAACAATATCTTTGGTCACGTGTGTGTGTGTGTGTGTGTTTTAAGTTTAATTGTTGACCCATGGCGGCCAATCGAATGTGGCTTTTAAAAGGTGGCAGGCTTTACAACTCTTTAGGTTGAAATGAATGGGCAAACCCCATTCATTCACCCCTCTCAAGATTGGCGGCTGATTTGCAAGCTAAATATACATTTTACTTTCGTTTCTTTTCTTCTCTTTTTAATAAAACTCGTTTTTAAATCATAGCACTGTTGTATTTTGTCTCCTTGAAAGGAATCAGGACTACTATCTTCTGCCCACATGTGCAATCAGTTGTCGCTATTAGAGTTGGTTTGCTTTTCCATTTTTTTATCATCATCATCATCACCATCGTCACCCTTATTATTATGCCCAAGCTGTGGGTGAGTATGTTGCATGGGATGAGGCCCACCTCTGTAGATGGGGTGTGGGGGGAGACCCTGGCCCAGTGTTTCATTCCTCTAGAAAGAGGGGCAATGGCACTGGTACCTATACCATAACCAGGGGCGGACCCTTCTTCCCAGGCAGAAGGGATCAGTCTGCATAGCCAAGCCTCCTCAGTCACTTGCCAATATTGTATCCTTCCTCTGGTTTACACCACAAAAACATTTTTTTTTCTTTTTTGCTCACACTGTAAAATTATCAGCTGACCCAAAAGAGGACCAGTTAGCCAAGATTCCCTTTCCATCAGGAACTTCCCAGCAACTTTTGTCAAGTTCTGAAGCAAAAGAAGGACATTGCCTTGCCGGGAAGTTTTATGTAGGAATCTCTTCAGGGAGGAATGAAGGTGAAGACCGCCCTTCTGACCGGAGAAGGAAAGAGGAGTAGGGCGTATCTTCTATATTGTTTGAAGAAGGAGACAAGGGATTAGAAGCAGACGGCAATAAACAATATGGTGGGGGGGATGGGAGGAGAAAAATAGGCTGCTAGAAAGGAAGTATAACTTGGGAATATTCATGCTCTGTTGTTGGCCCAAGTGAGGTACTAATACCACTCTATAAAGCCCTAGTAAGACCACACCTAGAGTACTGCATCCAGTTTTGGTCACCACACTATAAAAAGATGTTGAGAGACTAGAAAAAGTACAGGGAAGAGCAACCAGGATGATTTGGGGACGAGGCTAAAACGTATGAAGAACGGTTGCAGGAACTGGGCATGGCTAGTCTAGAGAAGGGAAGGACCAGGGGAGACATGATAGCAGTCTTCCAATATTTGAGGGGCTGCCACAGAGGAGGAGGGGGTCAAGCTATTTTCTAAAGCACTCAAAGGCCAGACAAAGAATAATGAATGGAAACTGAACAAGGAGAAATTTAACCTGGAAATAAGGAGAAACTTTCTGACAGTGAGAACAATCAACCAGTGGAACAGAAGTTTCCCTCGGAAGTTGTGGGAGCTTCATCACTTGAGACTTTCAAGAAGAGTCTGGACTCCCATCTGTCAGAAATGGTGTAGGGTTTCCCGCTTGGGTGGGGGGTTGGACTAGATGACCTATAAGGTCCCTTCCAATTCTGATTATCTGTTAAATCATTGCAGAGAGTCTGGGTGCCTTTGCTGGTCGCCTCCTCTGGGCTAAAGGTAGAATGTGGAATAACTATCACAGATTCAAAAGCAACCACTTATGAATCTTGGACCAATATGCTGATGTGGTTGGTGTGTGCCCAATTGGATAAGAATGGGGTGGGGTATTGCCTACCCAGAGGGTTTTTCTGAGCCTCAAGATTTTGGAGATGGCCAGAAATGCAGAGACTCTGAACTCTCTCCCTGGGTGGGGGGATATCTTTGTGTGTGTATATGTGAACCATGATGTCTAGGAGGAATGACAACTACACCCATCCTGTCCTCGTCTATCTCGGAGCTGGTCCATTGGAAGGTGTTTTGTGTACTCTTGACAATTACAGCACAACAGTGAATAGTTCGGGGTGGGAGGAGGAGAGATTTATCAATCTTTTTGGATTGCCCAATAAGTAAAGTTCTGCGTGTGATGAAAAAGAAAAGCACAGAAATGTCTTGAGGAGACTGAAAAGAGGGATATATCCCTTCTCAAACTGGGTTCTCATTAAAAGTAATAAAGATCTTAGAAAGCTCTCTCTGCAGTATATGAAAACCATAATCTAGCCCCATATTTTTGACAGTCATCGGAAGAGACTGTGTGGTCTGAGTCAGGCTTAGAATGCAAGTTTCCTGGATGAAGAATCTTACCCTGTTTTTATTCCTGTTCCTGTCATTTATAAAGATTACAGGTAGTCTCTGCTTAGAAACGTTCGTTGATACCACGTTTAGAGACCGAAGTTGCAGTGACAACTGGAAAAAGCAGCTCATGGCTATTTTTTTTTCACACAACTGTTGCAATATTCCCATGGTCACCTCAGAGGTGGGTATTCAGCAGGTTCTGACCAGTTCTGGAGAACCAATAGTGGACATTTTTATTAGTTCAGAGAACCGGCAAATACCACCTCTGACTGGCTCCGCCCCCATCTCTTCTCTGCCTCCCATTGAGTCCCAGCTGATTGGCTGGGTCTCCTTTGGTTGCCCTGCACAGGAGAACGGAGCTGGAAAGCAGGTTAGTGGGTTGGGGAGGGAATGGGGATTTTGCAGTATCTTTCCCCTGCCACGCCCACCAAGCCACGGCCACAGAACTAGTAAAAAAATTTTGAATCCCACCACTGGGTCACATTATCAAGAATTTGGATGGTTGTCAATTGGCATGGATTTAGGACAGTTACAGTGGTCCAGGGTTGTGTAATCATGTTCTGCGACCTGACAAAGTCAACGGAGAAGCAATTGTAATACTAACTTAATAACCGCAGTGATCCATTTAAAAAACTGGCAAGCAAGGTTGTAAAATGTGGTAAAACTCACTTAACAATTGTCTTGTTTAACCCGTGGAAATTTTGGTCATGTACTTTCTTTTAGCAGGACCGTGGGAGCTACCAATGGGTGCAGGACTATTTATTTAAAATCTATATTAATTAAATTCCTATCGGCAAGAACTTAAGGATCCCCCTTTCAAAATCCTGCCTGATTACTTAGATCAACTTCTGAAGGTCCCACCTGCTTCCAAAAATGAGACTCTAGATCATTTCCTCATCTGTCCTTCTCCGGCAACTGTGAAAGAGTCTTAATTTTAATTATACTGATTTTAAATTGAACTTTATTTTAATAGTCTTTTTTTAAAAAAATTCTTATAAGCAGTATTCTTATATATAGACAAGTGGATACAAATCCAGAAATAACAATTGGTGCCATAGCAATTATTATCTAAAACATGAAGAATGGTTACAGGAACTGGGCTTGGCTAGTCTAGTAAAGAGAAGGACTAGGGGAGACAGGATAGCGGTCTTCCAATATTTGAGCGGCTGCCACAGGGAGGAAGGGGTCAAGCTATTTTCTATAACACCTGAAGGGCAGACAAGGAATAATGGATGGAAACTGAACAAGGAGAGATTCAACCAGGAAATGAGGAGGAGCTTTCTGACAGAACAATCAACCAATGGAACAGCTTGCCCTTGGAAGTTGTGGAAGCATCATCACTTGAGACCTTCAAGAAGAGATTGGACTGCCATTTGTTAGAAATTGTACAGGGTTTCCCACTTGGTCGGAGGGGTTGGACTAGATGACCTACAAGGTCCCTTCCAACTCTTGATTATCTGTTATATCTGCTTCAGGCTTTTTAACATGTCAGGAAAGTGGTTTGCCCACAGCAGCTTCTTAAAATGTTGGCTCCCAAATGCCGCTGTTGATTTTGACAGCAGCACAACTGATAAAACTATCTTGAAGCAGGAGAAAAGTTGCAATGGATATATTGCTTTTAGGATAGGAGGCCACTGTGGAATTGCAGGATTACTACTTGGAGCTTGCTCAGAAACTTCAGCTTGTAAAAAAAAAAAAATCCAATCTCTGAAGGCTATTCATAGGAATAAATGTATACATTTTGCTCTTGGGCACTTTATAGGCCCAATTGGGTTGCTAGTCACAAAACAGCATGTTTAATGCTTAGTTTTAAATGAAAGTGGCAGGAGGCACTTTTCTTTCCCTAATTCTGAAGAACACCGGGCTAATCGGCGCTTCTACCCATGCAGATACAATGCATGGTGACGACACCATAT